GGATAATAATTTGCTTGTCATTCTGAAACACGTACAGTTTTTACAAAATAGAAGTATTTTTCAAGTGAAAATCAAAACAATGCATTGCTCTTTCTTGCTTACTATTTTCGTGGCTGAATTAAAACTAATATGAAAACAAACATTACAATAAATTTAGTAACATTTTTTCATGAAGGAAAGCATTGCACACACAAACAGCAGAATGACAATAAAGGATTAAGAAATCAACGGTTGTTGTGGCTTTGGTGTCATTTTTGAATTGCATTGTATTTTTCATAGTTTGAGGTCTTCGATTTGTTTCCTTTCTCCTGTCAAAAATCACTTGCAGAGAGACGCAACAGAGAGAAGAACAGAAAATATGACAACCAAAAATATATACTATATGAATAGCTTTGGATATGTTTTCGCTCACCGGGGAGTGTGAGTGTTGGTCTTTCACATTTTGTCTCTCTTTATTACCTGAAAATGTGATTGTAATAACAAATAAAGAAATATTATTTCTTTTTCTTTTTTTTGCATCAGCTTTGGATGTAAAAAATTTCACGTGTTGTTTCGACGACAAAATTCAATGATAAATACCCAAAGCGATGCTTGAACATGAACACATTTCATAATATGCAAAAAGAAACTTTTAGTTAGTATTCAAGAGCATCAATAATTGAACACTGACACATTTACGTAAGTGAAAAGAGAAAGAGAGAGACAAAAGACTTGGTACCAAGAATTTGGCATCTTAAGTTGGGTTCCTGTTGACATCGCAGTAGAGAAAAAAATGAATTATAATAATTTTATTTTACCTTCTTTTCTCTTTTCTTCGTCCCTCGTCTGTCAATCATGTACAATCATCTCTACACCACATGACCATTCGATAAGTTACGACGGACGCAAAAAATGGATTGATTCCTTTAGTTAAATGCTGCAAACATCTTTATTACAGACTGTATGTCAAACGAACACTGACTTTGTTTCCACGAATCTTTTGTTCATTACTTTCAATGATTTCGATATTTCTATTTAAAAGAGATAACATCGACATAATAGCGTGAGATAAAAATGGAATTATCTTCAATTTGAAATCACGACAAAACTGAAGAATTAGACCACTTTCAAAGACTTTTTTCTATTTCGATTTTAATAAAACGGGTACAATATGGCGCTTTGGTTAGACTTTTCTATTTCACTTTTTTCCTCAAAAACTTTCCAAATGACGCCAAAAGTCAATTGACTTGTGAAACCATTCGCAAAGCTTGTGTCAAATAATAGCAGATTTTCCATGTAAAATGTCTTTGTGAAATCGACACCACGATTTGTTCCTGTGTGCTGTACGATATGTTTCCTTTATCCTTTTGGGAAGTCATCGATAACGGCGAAGAATAAATCGAAGACAAAAATTCAATCATGTGTAGAAAGTAGTGGAAATGAACAAAGTAAGAAAATCCAAACGATTCAAAATGATTGGTATGTGCGTTCGTTTGACAGAAGGAATCCCACTGGGAAACAGTTTTACTTATTCGTATTCACATAAATGTTTCTCTTTTTTTATTTGTTTCGACTGCGAATCTGTCGTATGCATTGAAAACCATAAATTGAAAGAGGTAAATGCAAACACTGATCGAATAGATTAGCCGCAATTGAGTTGGCATACGTTTGTTTCTATCGACATCACTTATTAGAAAGACATAATCGTAACATCGTAATAGAATGCCTCGTAAATCAATCAGGTTTCTATCATTTACCTGAGGCGCACACATGATCGATATGACTAAGCGCTGGTTGTGTTTGGTTCCGTTTCGTTCAAGGACGCCGCAATAATAAAACCAATGTTGTATGGTTACTCAAACATATAATTTTCCACCGAACCAAATGCGACAAATAAGATAAATGAGTTGGCTGAAATGACGAACGTAAAATGCTTCTAATCTCTGTGCACCTAATTATAAATTGATAAACTTGTTGAAGAGGATGAAATGCAATTGAATGTATAAGACTGATGTGAGAAGGTTTTCTCGCCCAGATTGATATCCGTCTACTGTAAAGTGAAATGTCATCTTCGTAAATGAATTCGACAATTCATTTATTTCACCGATTTGAACTTGAACTTTTATCACTTGCTATTCATTTTAATGGATGCATCAGCCCATAATAAATGAGATTATGCTCATCTCGTGTTAAATGATGAAAGTAAATTCAATTTTTTTAAACCACAAGATCTTTAGTCGCACACATTGGGACCTTGAAAAAGCCAAGGAAAAGATCAATTGTTGGACATTTTGGCGCAGTAATAAAAGAAGAACAAAAAAAAACAGAACGGTTGTAAACAATTGAAAATTAGGTCAGGATACATTTTACATATAGGTACAGACATCGCGATCGTTGCTTCTTACATTTACTTATTCGTTTTATGCTCATAATTTAATTTAATTAGTTTTGCATGCAAAATGCCTCGCATTACTTTGTTGCACATTGCATAATAAAAGAACAAACTGCAGACTTGGCTTTCAATTTCATACCAATGTGATAAATGGCACATACTTTATATATCGGCCACCAAACAGATGTGTTACCATGTGATCGGTTTGTTCGCATTGATCTATGTATTGTCCAATTTAACGTAATGTGCTGAATGGTGCGACGAGAAAAAAAAACAATATAAAACAAGAAAAAAATATGCGGCACACAATGCGCCTATATATATTATGCGAAACAAACCCGTTTTTAATGATCACGTAATTTCATCCGCATATTGAATGTCGCACGTGAAATTCTCGTGTACATGGTGTACAACAACAGCGGCGAGAGCATGGTTCGACTTCGGTGGAGGTGATTTTTGTATGTGTGCGTATGCTTATGCTTTCCGTTCGTTTTCGATATATGTAATACGATCGAATGTGAATTGCGACGTCGCAAATCGGGACCATTTCATCATGCAATTTTGTTTACCATGACGCAGTGCATTTGTGTGTGCGCTGTCATATGCAAACGGGCAAATATTGCCTTGTACGTTCGCGCCTCGTTTTCGATTCACTTAAACGTACCACTTTAAAAATAGCTGTGTAATTCGCCGCAAATGTGCATTGTTGTGTATAATTGAATTACGGAGCTTTTTGGTGCGTTTTTTGGTATAAATAGTTCGAGCGGTTGCTTCAAAAATCATTCAGTTCTGACTGTTCAGTGAGTTCACAACGGAAACAAAAAAAACAAATACAGAAATTAAAATGGCATTCAAAGTAATTTCTAAATATAAAATCAATAGTTACAGTTCTTCTAAGAAGTGATTTATTTTTAAAAAAATTAATCGATAAAATTGTTGTTTGTTACAATTTTCTTTTGCAGTTCATCACATTCGCTGTATTGATTGCAGTTGCAAACGCTGGTTTATTGCCCGCTCCAGGTGCTTACGCTGTTCAACAACCAACCGCATACGCTGTCCAACAACCAGCAGCATACGCTGTCCAACAACCAACAGCATACGCCGTCCAACAACCTGCAGCCATTGTTCAACAACGTGTAATTCAACCAGCTCCCGTTTTGCAACAAGTCGCAACTCCAGTTCTTACCAAGAGTGTTGATGAATACGATCCAAATCCACAATATAGCTTCGCTTATGATGTCCAAGATAGTTTAACTGGTGACTCAAAAAGCCAACAAGAATCACGCTCGGGAGATGTAGTACAAGGCCAATACTCACTCATCGATTCAGATGGTTATCGTCGTGTTGTTGATTACTCAGCTGATCCCGTTAATGGATTCAACGCAGTTGTCAGTCGTGAACCACTCACCAAAGCCGTCGCCGTTGCTCCCGTTGCTAAAGTATGTTTTTTTTTTAAATTGAAATTTGATCAAACTTTACGTTCTTTTCATTCAAACACAATATTCTCAACAATTTTTTTTTCATAATTTCAGGTTGTTGCTCCAGTTCAACAAGTCTACACACAACAGCCAGCTGTCATTGCCGCCAAAGCCGTTTTACCACAAGTTTCCTATGCCAACTATGCCGCTGCTCCAGTCGCTTATGCTTCGCAGCCAGTCGTCTCAAAGGTCGTTCAACAAGCCCCAGTCGCCTATGCGAGCCAACAAGTTATTGCTCAACCTCAGTTGATTGCACAACCACAATACTTGGCCAAAGCCCATTACTAAGTTAACCAATTTCTAAGGAATCCCCAACAAATATCCACCGAATCGGCCGAATCCCCAAGACAAACCAACCAACCAACAAATACACACATATACAAAATGACATTTTAAGTCTAAGAGACAGAGAAGCGAGAACATGAACGAATTTTTTCCGTTCTGAAATGGACTGAATGAATGTTGATTGAATGTTTTTTGTTTTGCATTACCATAATTTTTTTTTTGTGAAATTATTTAGTTTTCGAAAACAATCAAATAAATACACAAAAAATCAAGCAAAAAATTTAAACACTTTCGACTTTGATTTTACATTTTAATTTCAGCTTTTATTTTCTCCATTTATAGCTTGATTTTCAACGATCGTTATCGATGTTTTGAATTGGAGACTTTGCAGACTATGGTGCAATATCACCACTAAATTGATCAAGATAAATGCTGGAAGAGAAGATAAATTTTATTTTATTTCAAATAAATTTTCAGAACCTGACCTACAAAATAATCCATGGAATAAAACCCGAACGACCCAATTGAAATACAATGTCATTTATTACATGATACCAAAATGTCAGCTGATCATATTAAGTTTTGTTTTCACTTTGAACACGAACCACAACTGAATAAAATGTGCAAAATAAATTCGAAAAACCATTAATCTCAAGGCAAGTAGTCGAATGAAATGTAATGAAAAATAACCAAGTCAATGAAGCCAAAGTGATTATCGCCTGTAAATCGTTGAAAACAATGGGAATGCATATATGAGAGTGAAAGAAACAAGACTGCTGGCAGAATGTGAATGAGGAAAATTAAAATAATAAAAAAACGAATTGCGTTCATTCGATTTGATAGTGCAGACAAACGGCGTCAACTTGCGTAAACAGTGTTTTTATTGTGTACATTCCGCATTCGAGATCAAGTCCAGACATGAACGTTCGACAAAGAACAACTTTCACTCATTCTTTCATTGAACGTGACGCGGCCGTACTATACATATGTGTATCATGCATGCATTGTAATTTAACAGAAGCTAAGCGCGACACTTAAAGAATAAAAATTGTAGACTGAAATGACCAATCAATAAAACGATTGGAAATTGAATTTAAAAGTATATCTCGTTATGCGGCACGCTAGGCGGCACGATTAAAATGTTCTTTGGCGTAATTATGTATGCACTTAACTTCTGGTTTTTTATTGTGTGATTGCATTACAATGAGTATAATAATTCGCACTTTTAATACAACTTTTTTTTATCGAAAAATAAAGATGACATTTCATTTTTTATTGTTTCATTGCAACGGCATTCATCACTTTGTTCGGTTGCTGTTATTTTTTCTTTTGATCACCGTTATTGAAGCGTGTGATTAAAAAGAGTGAAGAAAAAAAATGCCAAAGGCGTTTTCACTTTTTTTTGTGCGGTTGCACTTGAAATCGTATATCATTTCCAATATATCGACAACGATTATGATGATGAAGTAATTTAACGTCGGCAGCGGCGACGAAGCATCTGCTCTATAAATGAATATGTTTTGGTTGTGACGCTTTTTATCAATTCGATTTTGGTATAATTATTCAATTTGAATGGAATGACATGCGTGCCATTTTATACGTCGTATTCAAGTCGATGGACAAGGTGCTCTCTGTACATGAAATGGATTTTCATTGTAATCTGAATGCGAAATTGCAATGAAGCCAAACTAACCAATGAATGTTATTATGAATAAAATCGATACGTTGAATAACTGTTTCATTATTTTAGCTTTTTTTTCTCTTCTCACAAGAGTCACGAATTTTATACTCAATAAATAAAATGCAATCAAGTTTGATAGAAATCAATTCGACCGGAATTTCGAGAAGTTATTTTCGATGAGATCTCTTTTTTCGTCGCAATTTTGATGAGTCAAGTGATTGAATAAGATTTTCAACCAAACCGGCGTAGTTTTTTTTTATTTTCGTTTTATGAACGAGTTTTAATCCGCATTAACTGAGATTTGAGTGTGCGGTGTTTTAAATTGGATTTCATTCAATAAATACAACCATTAATTGTAATGAAATTGGTCAACTTCGCTCTAATTGCAATTTCAAATGAAATGGAAAAGGACGCTGATTCTGAATTAAAGATATAAAACCACCTACAAAATCATAAACACTTTTCGACATTACAATAAAGTACGATATTTTATTGGATTTCATGCACAGACATAGCGGAATTTCATTTATAGCAAGCCGTTGTGTGTCGCATAACGGTAACTCGAAATAGATTTTGATTTAATTTTTTATTATTTCAAATCTTGACACGTAATATATGGTATTGCTATGAAATGAATCTGATGCAACATTTGGCCATGCTGTGGTGATATTTTAATGGAACGAGTGTGTGGACGGCACATAAAAAGTAAAGTGTGTAAAATAAAATTTAGAGCAATGACACCGACGCTGTACATTGCAAGTATGCGTACACGTAGTACTACGTACAGTAAGCTCCCCATCGTGGTTACACGTTGAACGCATGTTCAACATGCGTCTTAAGCAGCTTTGAATGTGAGAAAGATAGAGAAAAAAACTGGATATTGGCCGCTGTTGAGAATGAGAGAATTGATTACCTTCGGCCTTGATTTAAGAGCATTTCGTGTTTCAGAGCAATTTCTTCAAATGACATTTAAATGTAGGATGGAAGTATATTTGGAGCGAATTAAATAAATTTATGTGCAAACTCTTTCAGGAAAATCGTTATTATTTGTTTTGTTTAATTGACGCTTTTAAAAAAAAGCAAATTCTTCAAAATGTGATGAAATATTTAAGAGAATAGAGTTTGAAGTGACTTGTTATGTTCTCAAATGTGCCAAAGCGAATTAAAATGCTCAACAAACTAAACAAAGATGTTTACACACGAAACATAGTTAATAAATAGAATTTTTCCATCCATCTAAGTGTATTCGCATCTCTTCGAATTGCGTTTATCCATCGGTTCATTGTTATAAGGGTATTATATTAAGCGTAGACATTCTGAAAATGGCCCTGCATCACGGAGACAGAGAGAGAGAGGGAGAGAGAGAGAG